ATTTTTTTTTTTCCTTTCCAGAAGAAAAAGAGGGAAACCAAGTGCCTGCGCTGTAGTTTGTCCGTTAAAGCGTGCAGCTCTGGTTAAATTGTACTTGCCATCCGTCGTGTTCCACCCCCTCGAGTCACGGCTCTCCTGGGCTGCCATGGTTACCTCTGCAGGGCTGACCCAGCCTGAAGAAATGCTATTTATTTTTCTTCCTCGCTGCAGAATGGACGAGTACTTATTTTTGCTAGGTTAATTAGGATTTTTCATTAAAGAATCCCCCCTCAGTATGTTTATTTTTCCAGCAGGCACAACCTTTCTATTTATAAGAAATGAATCAGTTTTCAGATGCTGGACTGGAGCAGGAAGATGTTTTCCTGCCCAAAATGACAAGAAGACAGACGTGAAAACTTTTAAATTGATTTTTTTTTGTTCCCCAGGAGGGTGGGAAAGCCTTTGGAAAGCCATTAGCTACCAGATGACCTGATAAAATATCAGCATGGCTGGTAGTGGTCGGACTTTGCACTTCAAACGAGGATTTTTTACAACGGTGTGTAGTGACAGGACACGGGGCAATGGCTTTGAACTGAAAGAGGGGAGATTTCAATGAGATCTAAGGAAGAAATTTTTTACATTGAGGGTGGCGAGGCACTGGCACAGGTTGCCCAAAGAAGTTGTTGATGCCCCATCCCTGGAAGTGTTCAAGGCCAGGTTGGATGAGGCTTTGAGCAACTTGATGTAGTGGAAGGTGTCCCTGCCCATGGCAGGGGGGTTGGAACTGGATGATCTTTGAGGTCCCTTCCAACCCAAACCATTCTATGATTCTATGATTTTGGTGTGACAGCTCAATCACATCAGTTGCCTTTCAGTGCTAAATCAAGCTTAAGCACATTTCTAATCCTGTCAACGAGCAGAGCAGCCCACACCCAGTTCCTGAATTACCTTCAAACCACTGGGCTTTTGATACAACTTCTGCCACAGCAGCTTTCAGCTCTAAGTCTCAAGGCAGCCTGCAAAGGAGGACAGCACAATTTTTACTTCACATAAGAGGAAAGTGAAGCACTAAGCCAGGAATGTGTCCTAAAGCATCGATCAGAGCTAGAACTAGACTGGATCGCTCTAGTTCATAGAATCATAGAATGGTTTGGGTTGAAAGGGCCCTTTAAAGGCCATCTAGTCCAACTCCCCCCCACTTCCTCCCTCTGCCAGGGGCAGGGACATCTTGAAACAGATGAGGTTGCATAAAGCCCCAGCCAACCTGATCTTGAATGTTTCCAGGGATGGGGCATCTAGCACATGACAGGGTAACCTGTGCCAGTGTCTCACCACCCTCATTGTAAACAATTTCCTCCTTATATCTAGTTTGAATCTACCCTCTTTTAGTTTAAAGCCATTACCCATTGTTCCGTAGCTACAGGCCCTATTAAAATGTCTGTTCCCACCTTTCTTATAGGCCCTCTTTAAGTCCTGGAAGGCTGCTTGAAGGTCTCCCCAGAGACTCCTTCAGGATGAACAGCCCCAACTCTCTCAGCCTGTCTCCAGAGCAGAGGTGCTCCAGCCCTCGGATCATCTTCATGTCCTCCTCTGGACCTGCTCCAAGAGCTCCATGTTCTTCTGATGTTGAGAAACCCAGAGCTGAACGCAGCACTGCAGGTGGGATCTCATAAGAGCAGAGCAGAGGGGCAGAATCCCCTCCCTTGACCTGCTGCCCACACTGCTTTGGATGCAGCCCAGGATATAGGTGACTTTCTGGGCTGCAAGCACATGTTGCCAACTCCTATCCAGCTTTTCATCCCCCAATATCTTCAAGTCCTTCTCTCAGGGCTGCTCTCAATCTCTTCATTTCCCAGCCTGTATTGATGCCAGGGATTGCCCTGACCCATGTGCAGGACCTTGCACTTGGTCTCGTTCAACCTCATGAGGTTTACAGGGATCCACTCCTTGAGCTTCTCCAGGTCCCTCTAGATGGCATCCCGTCCCTCATGCACGTCAACCACACCACTCAGCTCGGCCTTGTCTGCAATCTGGCTGAGGGTGCACTCAATCCCACCATCGATGAGGATATTAAACAGTACTGGTCCCAATACGGACCCCTGAGGGACACCGCTTGTCACCAATCCCCCTCTGGACATTGAGCCGTTGACCACTAGTAGTCAATGGCTTGATTGAATTGGCCACCTCTGTCGATTTAGGCAGCACTGAGAGATTCCTGGGGGAGCTGAGAGCATTGAGGTTTATTTGGCCCAATTATACGCTAGTCACTGCTGTGGCGTAGCATTGCGTCCGACACAGCCTGTCTCACTCTTCACATTTAAATATTTCCTTAATACCTTGAGAGGGGTAAAGCCTCTCTGTCTAACCTGACCTTCAGAATAACGAGGCCATGCTGGATGAGTACCTTCGGAGGTTATTCTCCCTGATATGGAAGGCTGGTTGGACGGCATAACTCCAGCAAAGAGCAAATTCCTCTCATACACCTGCAGGGTCAGAGAAACACAGAGCTTGAGTAAATCTTTTACGTCAGTGAATCCACAGCCCTGATATTGCAGGGCTCCATGTCATAAAATCACATACATGTCATAGAAATGTCCCCATGTGTCTCACCACTTCGCTAATTCAGCTCTTGCGTTCCAGCTCAAGGGAATCACGTTGTCCACAGGTAGCTACAACTTGTCTCTACCCCAGCTGAGGTCTTCTTGACTCTTTGTAGATGGGCTATAATGCTTCTCGCTCCTTGGGTCACGGAGACTGAGCACTCGGAGCCCGTTTACCACCAGGGAGTCACAGCTCTGCTCAACTGTACCCCACGTGGCCTCCAACAGCAGCTTGGGGAGAGGAAGAGTCACGGGCTGGAGCCCATGCTGACCCAAAAGCTCAGTGGAGCCAAGCTGGGAATGTCAGCTGTGGTTCAGAAGCACAGCACCACACGGCTGCAATGAGGGGACAGCATTGTGGTTTGTAAGCAGCCATGAAGTGCTAATTACTGAATTTGCTTCCCTTTCCCAAAAGGCATCAGGAAAAACAGCAGAGGAATTTCAGGTTTGTGGTGTGCTTTCACTGTGCAGGCAAACTGATCTTCTCTCGTTCTTTGCCCCAAAACAAGCTCTTCATGGTGAATTTTTACACTTTTTGATCATTCCCTGCAAGGTCCCCTGTGAGTCCTCCATGGTAGCACACAGACTCGGATTTCCTAACACTCAGTTGCTCGAGCACAGCCTTCACCAAGGAGAAACTTCTGCCTTCGTGGTCTGCCCACCGGCACACCGCTGGGCTGCCCATGCTCAGCCAAGGCGGCTGCAACAAGCACCAACGCAGAGCCTCGGGGCTGGCTTCCTGAAGCAACAAGCAAGTCCTCTACAATTATAAATGCAAATGAGTATATTCACAAAACGAAGGCTCTGGAGCACTGGGAGCAATGCTGGAGCTGGTCCAGGCAACAAGGAGAAAGATGCTCTCACGGACTCACACATTACAAGGTCCACTCTCCCCTCTCCCTCTCCTCCTGCCTCCTCAGCTCAGCCGAGTTATCACATGGCCTCTGCGTGTTAAGGAATAATCTTTCTGGAGATTTAATTACAAGGTGAAATACGTCCAATTCTTTTACTCCATTTTCCAGTGACGATAAAGAAGCGGAGCTACTGCGAATGTTGTAAACTCTATGAGGATTAATGCTACCGCAACAAGTTTTTTATCACGTTAATGACATTATTTCTCTCGCGCCCATGACATACACACAGAGCAAAGGTATGGATGCCGGAGTCGGCACATCCAATCGAACAGACGTCCTAAATGTGTACGAAACGTGATGTGGAAACTGCAACAGCAAATAGTTTTTATTATAGAGCTGTTCTTCCACTGCCTTCATCTCCGCAAAGCTATAAACTGAAGGAGTGGGTATATTTCACAAATGTGTATATACATGCACCGGCGGATGCGGAATAGGCATGCAGATGCTTTTATAAACCACAGAACGTGCTTCCTTCTTGGCAGTCTTACTATGCTTTTTATTTTTAACACCAAATAAATACAAAACAATCCAATAAAAAACAAACAGCAGTAAATCTGAGAAATCGGTCGCTTTTAAAAGCAATACTATTAACTAAGTTTAGGTCCCAAATCTATGATTTTGGGAGTGAAAAACCTCCCCAGGTCTGCAGTACAGATGGCTTTGTGTAAATGACTCAGTATTTCAACCAGGATTTGGGACTGTGGGGGCTGAAAGGACAGGTTTTTGGAAGGTAGAAACAACAGGCACTTAAATCTCAAAGGTTTTTCATGAGCACTAGGAGTTTAACTACTTCACGTACTTTCGAAAATATCTTCCTGAGATACCTCCTCCACTAATGATGGAGAGACCCAGGAGAAACCAGTCTTGTGTGTCTCAGTGAAGAGCCTGGAGCTGGGTGGACAAATCTGATGGTAACAGGTGAGGGTGCAGCATCAATAACCACTTGGCGCTGCTAAAGCATATACAGCTTTTACAAAATCTCGCTGCTTTTGCAAGGAATGGCCAGGCTCTTGCTGCTTCGAAGCTATTCTGCATGTCCAGCATATCCCCCTTTTTCTATTTTTATTTTTATAAATCTTTGCCTTACCATCTTTCTCATTCCACTTTGTGCCAGTGAAACTAACGTGCACAATGAAAACGGAGGACAGACGGGAAACTGGATCTGGTAACTGGGAAGAAGCAGTGGGAAGAAAAACAGTATCTTAATATCTGAGGCCGTTGTTTCAATATCCTTGCAGTTTTCTCAGGTGAAGAATTGGGGCATACAATGCTGAGAGGGTCACACAGATAAATGTCTGCATCAGCGCACAATTTCACCCTGACCTTGTAAATACACACGCTATTTATTTACTCTGCAGTTCATGTCTCCTGTAAGATGCCAACTCCCAATTTTGCAGAACAGGAATCCCCTCGAAAGTATTCCAAACCCGATTAAAAATAAAATCTAAAAAATAGATATTAAAAATACTTCCTTCCTTCTCCATGAAGGGGAAGGTAGTTTCTGGTGTCTTTGAATCAGGAAATTCTCTCTCCCTCTGGGAAGCTCTTAGCTCTGGTGCTTTGGGGTGTCTCCTTCCAGAGCACCATGATGTCCATGAGCTAAAATTTCTGCAGGAATTTGAGAACCAGGTCACGCAGTTTCACCCTCAAAGGTTCATCGTTGTCACAGATGATGTGTGTGGAGTCCTCCTCAATCTGAATGAGGGTTTCTGCCTCCTGGAGGAGCACAATATGGCCCTTGGCTGTGTCTTCCACCTTCACGTCGCTGAAACCATGCTAGATGTAGCATTGGGGAGGGAGTAAAAGAGAGAGACATTACTACAGCTCAGGAAAACAGGTAGAGATGAAATATGACCCTCACAGAGATGAATAAACTATAGAACAGAGAGTCTAAAGCCAACATGTTCTGCTACACCAGGTCACTGCAATTGCAAAATCTTGAGTGATAAAAACAACAAATGGCTCCTTTAACTACAGAAATGACCATTTGCTGACATTGCTGCCTCAAAGATGATCATACTGGAGAGCTACTGAACCCCAGGGCAAACTTCCTCACAGACAATCCTGCCCTTTTTCCTGCTGGTTTTCTCCAGGAGTCTTACAGGTGAGCACAGAGCAGTAACCAACTGCTGGCAAATTCAGCCACCAAGTCCCCTGTCCTACAGCTCCCCAGAAAGCTTCTCCATCAGTGGAGACATTTCCAGGATCTCTTCTTCACTCGGTCACCTCATTTTCACAAAACCTGTAGGAACTTAAGTACTTTTGAGATCTCCTCCCCACTGTCCAAATTTATTGGAAATCAACCAAATCCAAAAGTTACATGGGGGAAATTCACGCATCCACAGTGACCACAAAAGCTCTGCTCCCATGGGAATCCTCTGTATCGAGACATGACTCCACAGGGAACTATTCCCTCCATACTCAGTGCAGGGACACACATTCCCCAAAGTACTTTGCTAGCTCATTACTCCCTCTCCATTTCAAGCCACACTAAAATTATTGCCCTTTCTCTGCTAGCAAAGCATCATGTTTCTGAGGTTAGTAGAAATTGGCTTGAACCTTGCTTGCCACCAAAGACTTCTTACCTTCTCGAGTGTCTGCACAAACTGGTCCACAGGAATGGAGCCGCTCAGCAATGGCTTCAAAGGTTTACACTCTGGCACGTCATCACTCACCCGCTTTCTCTTCTTGCTGGCCGGAGGTTGCACAGGTTTTGGAGGGAGCTAATGGACGAGAAGGTGCACAGTAATGCAGTGAATCGCATCAGATTATTATCATTTAGTTGGAATAATAAGCACACGAGATAGAAAAGGAATACTGATTTTGTTTTCAGTGACCAAAGGGGAACATTGCAGTGCTGAAGAGGAGAGGAGAACCCCAGCCTTGGGCTCCACTGCAGCTCTGCACACACAGCCACCATTTATAGAAATAACTTAGCAGGTTTAGTTCCAATCTCTGTCATCTTAAAATTTCTGTCAAATTCAGTTCTGTTCAAATTTCCGTCACCTTAAAAGTCCTGTCTGACTCAATTCGAGACTGAAGTCTTCTATTCTAGCACTCAAGTACTCTGCAATATTTTCTAGGAATCATGCCTTAAAGAAGTCAATACCTTGAAAATCACACTCTAAAAGATGCAACAGGTTGAGAAACAGGCAAATCCAGAGTAAGTAACTACTCAGGTAATGAGAAAAATGGGTAATTTATTTCTCACTGGCCTCAGAAAAGTGAGTCTTTAGGAAGAACTTGAATATAGACAGGGAGGCGTGAGAGATGCTGCAGGGCCTGAAAAATCACTGGAGCGTGATCTGGATATAATTTTGTGCTGCTTCAGAAAGCTCTCTGCCTTAACTCATCCCTGAGACCCTTCTCTGTTAGCAGGGAGGGGAAGGCAGGGTTGGCACGTGCAGCAGTAGCTAACCTAGCACTGTGTGTTGCTGAACACACGGGAGAGGTGTGGGGTTCACAGAGAGCTTCTGAAAGACCCTTTCATTTCATGGAGACAAAAAACAGATTGCTATAAAGAGAACAGTGAGGAAATTATTGTGCAAAGTAGGTCCATGTGTCCTGTGCCAAGTTAGTCAGGTCAGGGAAGTGTCAGCACTCGTCTTTCCCAGTGAACAAGCAACTCGGTCTCTGGGAAGAAGGTGCTGGGGAAAATTTCTCCGAAATTTTGGCAAGACCATTCACTAGGGATGCGTCTGCACAACACACAGGGAATTCGCCTGAAGCAGCCCCAGTGCCTTGTAGCACCGTGTACACTCCAGGTGACAGACTGGGCTCCTCTCACCTCTGTCTTTCCCACCATGTAGCATCATGTCTGAACCTGCTGCTGTGATGTGCCCATGTTTCTTTCAACAGCCAGGGAAGGGAGTTTTTCATCCTTGGGAGAGAAATGCCGCCCACTCAGAGTTCAGTTCCACAAGCAGAGATGCACTTGAGTCACTTTACAAAACCCACCATTCTCCCTGAAGCTGGTGGGCCTATATGCATGTATCATGCTATCTGTGCATGAATCACTGACACAGTGGGTCCCAGACTCAGCCAGTGCTGACAGATCCCACTGTGCTGGCTTATCTCCAGCCACATGTAGGGGCTCTGGCATTTTAAGCCTAGTTCTAAGTTTATTTGGCATCAGGAATCAGAGTAGAGAAGGGAGTAAATGAACAACGCAAAGGAGAAAGCAGTCTCAGACCAACTGCATTTTAGTATTTCGATTTGTTCTGTGTTGCCTAGTGTTTCTAGGGAACTGACTTGGAAAAAGGAAGACTGTCTGCTGTGCAGTGATACAAATCCTTAACCAATCTTTATGTCCCTGCATTAAAGACATTACCCTACCGGGCCCTCTCCGCAAGTGCAGTGGGCCCAGCCCAGCTCTGCTGCCCAGCAGGAGAGGCAGCACCGTGCAGAGCGTGGCTTCGCGGCGTTCCCTGCGTGCTCATGCATCAAAGGAGAAAGGTGACCGGGGCATCCACTGCTCAGCAGGTCTACCAGACATCGTCTCCCTCTGCGGAGCACTAACGCCAGGAATTGCAGTGTCAGCCTAAAGAAGGCGGTAGGAAAAGAGCGTACGCTCCTACTTTGTACGAGGATGTACAATCTGCTTCTTGGGGAACAGGGCAGCTTCAGGAAAATGGTCCCTTCACATGTCTAATGTTTCAGGTCATCTCTCCCCTTTGATCCTCAGTCCTAAGTCCATGAGAAGCTGACTGATGCTGATCCTGTTGTATGGGTTATGGAAGACAGCAGTATGATTTGTAGCCTCTCTTCAGGAATAATCTCACTTCCCCTTTTATCTTAGCCAGGCACATGGCCAACGCAAAAAGGGTAGAGAGATTTATTTGCATCCCGCTCTCTTCTCTAAGTGTAGTTCCTCACTCGCACATGCCAGGACAGAGCATCCGACAAGGACTCTGCTCTGGTATGGAAAGAGTTGTTGGAGGGGTTGCCTCATGAGAACAGCTGGGGTCCCAGATGGCACGAAACCTGATGTAAGGACATTTTTTCCCTTTCCCATTATACTGTACCTGCAGCACATGCTTGTTGTCTTTAGTATGCAAGACGGCAGAAACTGTTGCTAAGGAAATACCAGGCTTAATCTCCAAGGGCACGAGTGAATCTGCAAGCTAAAGCAAAAGAAGGGTTTTGTTCAGCAAGTAATAATCTCAAAATTTGTATGAATCCAGCTGTGATTTAAATTGGCCGCGTGGTATTTTTAAACATGGACTAATCAACTGTAAACACAAACTCACTGACACAATGACAGAGCACTCCTCTTACCTGCTTAGCCCTCCTTCCAGCTCTTAAAGCCTCTGACTTCCATACCATTATCACAACAGCATGAGGCTTTCAGTAACCAAGGCAAGTCTCAAAAAACGTAACCATTGAAGAGAACCCTTGTTTAAAAAGATATCAACTTCTTTATTAATAATTCTGATTGGCAAATCTCTAATTTGGCATTACTTATTATGTTTGCTATGTCGATGGACAATGAAAAATCAAAGCCAGTTTCCTTTCAGTTCCATAGTTCTGTGGCATTCTGGCTGGAGAACAGTTGGAAGAGAAGGGTTTCTCCTTAAAAACCCAACGGCCCTGTTGACTGGTTTGAAATTTTTCCTTACAACTTCGCATAGAAACTCTTCTATTGCCTTTTATATAATTATTCTCTGAAAGAAATAAAATTTAGTCTCAGTCTCAACTTTGAATTCAATGGCAACCTCCCAAGATCCTCAGCATTGAGAGCATTGGCAGTGAATGTGGGGTGGGCACTACTGCACCTGCTGAGACTTGTAGGAAGCACCTCTTCCAGTAATGTCTCCAAAGGAACTCTGCAGAAAAGGGTGCTCATGAACACAGAAAATTATTCCCTTTTTTCCAAGGGAGTTCTGGATGACAATCGACGGAACACCAGGTGCCCTGGGGTCCTGCCCAGGACTGCAGCCAGGATCTAGTCCTAGATAAACAGGTACCTTCAACACCACATGGAGCAGCAGTCCAAGCAGTTTCCAAGTATCACTCCCAGCCAAGCACATTCCTGTTATTCACTGTGGACCTGAAGGTAAGAATGCATAAAGTGTGCTCTGGGTCCATGGGGAAACCCTGCAGGTGTCTCACAAAACGAGTAAGATTGGTCACATGTTATACCACTGGACAGAAGGACTGTTCAATTGCGAAGGCGAGTAACACCTAAAGGGACAGAACCTACTTGGCTGTTTTTCCCAACAGTCGTACCATCAACCTACCCAGACCATCAACCCATCTCACGTAGAAAGAGCCTCTACAAGATGATCTTCATCTGAACTCCATTCCCTTTCATCTTCAAACACGTGACACCTCCAGTTGGGGTCAGATATTAGGAAGAGCTTAACCTCCAGGTAAAAGAGCTCTTTTGAAACTTCAGGCATCTACTGTAGCATTTCCATGAACCAGAGCTCTGGAGAGCCAGCTATCATCATTGCACTGCCAGCAAGGTAACACCAGCTCTCTTTGGCTTACCAGATGCTCCCATGGATGAAAAGCAGGAAGAGAAACTGAACAGCTTTTAGAAAAGCATGGTAATTTCCCATTTTTGAGATAGCGCACCCGAGGCAAAGAAAGATTAAATTCCTTACCAAAGGCCATCTAGTGAATTTTCAACAGGATCCAAACCAGAAGAGGGATGGAGCACAACAACTGAACCCTGTTGCTTCTCAAGAAACATCAGGTATCAATACTTTACTGCCAAATACTCTGGTCTGCTGTAAATTTTGATTACGTAGGTGATCACTCTGTTACTGCAAAACCCTAATCCTTGTGAATACAGAAGCAAGTGAACTTGACTTTAAAAAGTACTCACTACTGGCCTAATCCTTTTGCCATTGAAGCACTGAGAAGGTTTTTCTGTTGGCTTCAATGGCAGCAGAGTTCAGCTACCTCAGATAACTTCGGGAAAATCTCACCTATCACTATCACTATCGAGGGCTGGAGCACCTCTGTTATGAAGACAGGCTGAGAGAGTTGGGCCTGTTCAGCCTGGAGAAGAGAAGGCTCTGGGGAGACCTTCTAGCAGCCTTCCAGTACTTAAAGGGGCTACAAGAAAGCTGGGGAGGGGCTTTGGACAAGGGTGTGTAGTGACAGGACAAGGGGCAATGGCTTTAAACTGAAAGAGGGGAGATTTCAATGAGATCTAAGGAAGAAATTTTTTACATTGAGGGTGGTGAAACATTGGAACAGGTTGCCCAGAGGAATTGTGGATGTCCCATCCCTGGAGATGTTCAAGGCCAGGTTGGATGAGGCTTTGAGCAACCTGGTGTAGTGGAAGGTGTCCCTGCCCATGGCAGGGGGGTTGAAACTATATGATCTTAAGGTCCCTTCCAACCCAAACCATTCTGTGAGTCTATAAAGTTGCAGGAACATTTTGAGAGCACCTCCTTGAAATAAAACAGTTCGACAGATGATTGTGTTGGAAAAACACAGACATTTTATGGCTGCATTCAAATCCCCTAAATTTTGCACATATTCAGACTTGGTGAATCTCAGAAATCAAAATTTCATGGAGCAATTCACATTGCTGTCTCTCTGGGACTCTGCTCAAGATCTTTAAAGCAGTCAATTTGAATACAGCCTTTACAGTTTGTTGTTGAAGGCTGAGAGAATTAAAATATAATGATAATCATTGCCTCAGGTTTCCCCTGGGATCTAAAAATAGTAACACTTGCAGCAGTGTTTTACGCTGCACTTTGCAGTGGTCGAAGGCACTTTCCATTCCCACCACCTTCCAGAGGAGGATCAATACAAAATGGACTCTAATAAAGAATACATGGCAAAATGACAAACACTGTAAAGAGAAAGATCCTTAAAAACCAGAGAGCTGCTTAGAATCGAAGTCCTCTTCTGTCACTGAAATACTCTGATATTAACATTCATCCAGATTTTAACCACATAGTTGGTAAATAGCAACACTTTAATTACTAACAGTCAAAAGACAGTAAGATAGACGTTCATTTTTACTTTCTCCAAGATCATCTCACAGCCCTCTCCATGTTGTGGCCAATCCTTTCATTATAGAAGTTCACTGACCCAAACCAAAAAGGTCATTTAATCACATCCAGTAATGCACCCGCCAAGACCAGACAGCACTGCTCTACTCCTTTCGACTGACCTCCTGCGCACACAAATCACAGATCTCTTCCAAAATGCCGGATTAAAGAAAATCTTTTCAGAGAGACAGCAAATCTTGTCTACACTCCAAGCAACAGCAACTCTGCCACTTCCTCTCAAAAGCTGTTCCAAACTTAATTTTCCTTGCAGCTAGGAAACCGTGTCTTATTTCAAGGTTGAATTTGTCCAACTTTCAGTTGCTGGATCTTGTTAGGCCTTTGTCTGCAAGACTGAAAAGCCCCCCACTATGCAAGAATAAATGTTTCTTCCTTCCAGTCATTATCACAAGTCTAATGCCACATGCTGGCATCAGGAAAGTCACGGAAGCAGAGGCACATGGCACTGAGCACTAACATCACATTAATCAGTCCCCTGCCTACGGACGAGCACTTGGACTGCCTTAAGACAAACTTGTCTGTGTATGTGTACTGCGTATTTCATTTTTTAAAATTCCTCCTGTTAAGGCAAGTTTGAAACAGTGACCAAACAAAAAAACAAAAGTCATTGACTCTTAGTTGCTTGAAACTGCAAGTGTCGATGTGAACCTTGTAACAGTTGAGGGAGAGAAGAGTCAGCTTGGGAAGTTCTGGTCCATGATCAGAGCTGTCCACCTATGTTCTGACAGAGTAAAGACATTTTTACCGTAAACTGTGCTTGAATCCTTCATGTAGGATTGTATTTTCCACAACAAAATGACATCTGACACCTACTATGAAAGCCCAAACAGCATTGCTGGCCAAAGTAGTGTTGTTTATAAAGAAGAACCATGTACACATGTTAGGGTTACTCTGAAGTCTCTACTAAGGCCTTCATCAGGGACAACTCTCCCTAGACTTAAGGTCGTACACAGTCATCGGCCAAAAATCCTCTTGGCAATGAAAAGCTGAACAATGACTGAAGATGAGATGTGAAACTCCTATTGCAAAAAATAAAAAAATGAGGCTGAATGATCAGTGAATAAAATCAGGAAAGGATCAGAATTTTAGCACACATGGTCTTGGTCCTACGGAGGATTCTTCCAGGGATATGCATAGATATACATCAGTCCAAGTTGCGGCTATACTGGCAGTGGTGACTACCAGTGATTTCCTTCTAGATTTTTGGGACACCTCTCCAAACTTCTTCCTTTTCCCTCTTCCCTTCCAAGTTCTACAAGTGCAATAGTTCTTGGTTTACACTAGAGAGGGTGCGTGAAGGCTGACCCAGCAGGGAGAGATGAAGTCTGAGTTAAGTGAGGTGAGCTGGATCCTCACCCTCCAAGACTGGAGCAACAGGGAATTAGGAGGAGTACAGCAAAACTTATCAGTAATTAAAATCCCCTTAACTTTTAAGATCTGAAATTCACTGATGCGTACACTAGATTATAGCATATGCATTTAGACAGGGACACAGCTGGGTTTTTACACCAACATTAAATGTGTATTTTCCAGATTTGCAAACTGCTTAAATGTATGATCTCTGCATGAGAGGTAGGAGTCAGAGATGCAACTTTGGGTCACACCAGAGAAATGAAAGACATGAAACACAGCTGTGAAACCACCGGGCAGGACAGACCCATTATGAATTCAACACATTCCAAGTCCTTAGAAAAAATAAAGAAAGTTGTAATATATTCCTTGGGGCAGGGATCGGTTTTGGTCAGTGCTTGTGCAATACCTAGCACTCAGAAATCCTACTAAGGCATCCATTACTCATGCTACTATACTGCAGTAATAAAGTAAATGGAAGGAAAATTAAAAAAAATAATCAGAAGTGGATCACATGCGACTAACACAACACCCTTCTCTAATAAGACAACTGCTGAGGGAATTGGGGCAGCCACAGTCTGTGCTTCACGAAGCACTAGCAAGGTACCACATGGGAAATTACAAACTGTGGATTTCTACAGCAGTCCTGAGGTGGGGAAAGCGCTGGTTAAAGCAAAGATATCCCCAGACAACTACTAGGCTGTTGCTGTAATACCTGAAGGGTCAGTCTTGAGCCTACT